ACTCCTAGTGACCCTGTATAGTTTCTGAGATTGTGAATCTTTATGGGTGCAGACAGCCTCATCATTCTCCTGAGGATCTAAGCCCACTGCTTAGCCTTCGACACTATACACTCTCCTTTAGGGCAGCAGCTTGTTAAGTGATGTAGAGTCAGTTCTGATTCACAGTGGCCCTGTAAAGGGTTTCCAAGGACCAGCTGTTAGGTTTGAACTGCCAGCCTTGTGGTTAGCAGTCCAGTGCTTATCCTACAGCAGCGCTACACTTGGACTTCACTAGAGTAGCAGCAGGCTCCCAAATTTACATCATTTTGGTCCCTCCTCTTTCATTTGTAAGTTGGGCATCCTCTAGGGTAAGGCTCAGGACTTGCCTGAGCTGAGCTGGAGAGCATGGGGTGGGGTGGGGGAGTAGGGGGAAAGCAGCTGCTCAAAGACGTCACTGACCAAAGAGAAACCAAATGGAAAATCAGGGTGGAGATGATACTGTAATGCAAAAGTTTTCTTCTAAGGCAAAGAAAGGTGCATAGACTACCTCAGGAAGGCTGTACCAGAAAGTGCTGTAAGTGGGTGCCCCTGGCAAGGGAGTGGGGCTGGCGCTGGGGGCTTATACATGTTTTGTACTGTTTGTTTGAGTTCCGAACTTGCATGTATTATTGACGTTTGGATTATTTTTTACAAGTCTTACCAGGAATGTAGCAGGTGCTTGATATTTATGGTGTGCTTACTAGATGCGGAGGGCCCTGAGGTGATCCTCATTTTACAGATATTAGGAAATGGGGGCTCAGCTAGGAGGAAGCCGAGGGAGCTCCTTCCAGGTCTGCTGGAAGCCAGAGCCGGTGTCTCCGCCAGGACCACACCGCCTTCCTCCCTGTGCAGTTGGAGGCACCAGATGCTCTGGCAGGATTCAGAGATGCCATCTGTGAGGGAAGCCTATTCTTAGAGAGCAGAGATGGTCGGTAGGGGAGCCAGCCAGCCCCCAGCACAGTGGGGGAACAGGGAGGGCAAGCAGCCAAGGCTTTACCTTCAGCTGAGTGTGGGATGGGCCAAAACAGGGTTTCATGAGTGCTCACGACTATGCTTCCTTCTACTTTTTGGGAGGCTAGACTTAAACTCACAGCAAACATGTACTGGGTGCTCATTTGTATGTACTGTATCATTTAATCCTCAAGACCACCCTATGAACTGTATGCTATTACAATGCCTGTACGAGGATACAAAGGTACAGAATGGTTAAACCACTCAGCAGAGAAAACAGCAGGGCCAGGGCTTTAGCTTAGACAATCTATGCTATCCTGCCTCCATACCTGCTGTATAGGCCATTGTTAGTTGGGGTTTGCCCAGTAGCAGACCCTAAAACAAGGATCTGCCTCAAGTGATTTATCTGGAAAGCAGTCCAAGGAGGCACTGGTAGAGGCATGAGAAAGTGAGATTGGAAAAGCTGTCAGCAAGTGAGTTGCTATGGGCAACTGGAACTCAACCCCCTTCTGGAAATGAAGACTAAGCTAGGAGGAACCTCTGAGTTATCCCACCCAAGGATATTTGTGCCTCCCTTCTCTGTCACTGACCGAGAGCTGCTACCAGGATGTGTTAATGCCCCAGCACTTTGGGCCTGTCACAGATGGCATAACAAGCTCAGGTGTCAAGGGAGTTCCTCAGGCAAAAAGATACAGGTGTAGTTGGAAAAGTTGCCTGGTGTCCTCTGAAGAGGTAATCAGAGGTGATATGGGCAGGGCACCCCTATAACCTCAAGATCTTGTTCAGCCTCCAAGACTAAATTAAGGGACCTTCAAAATCACCTACTCCAAGATTGCAGTATAATGTTGGGGTTAAACATAGTGGTTTGAGAGTCAGACATTGTTGTTATGTGCGTCAAGTTGGTTTCAATTCACAGCAACGTTGTATGGTGATGGTGATGGTGGTGGTAGAGTGCTGGGGAGTTGGTCTGACTCATAGCGACCCTGTACAGGGGTTCTGAGGCTATAAATCTTTATGGGAGCAGAAAGCCTCATCTTTCTCCCACAGAACAGCTGGTAGTTTCGAACTGCTAACCTTGAGGTTAGCATCCCAACTCGTAACCACTACACTACCATTGTTGTTGTCAGGTGCCATTGAGTCAGAACCGACCCATAGCGACCCCATGCACAGCAGAATGAAACAATGTCCAATCCTGGGCTAACCTCACTACCGCTGCCACACTTGATACCATCAATGATGCTACCTGACCAATCCATCTCGTTGGGAGTCTTCCTCTTTTTCTCTGACCCTCCATCTTATCCAGCATGACATCCTTCTCCAGCGACTGTTCCCTCCTGACAATATGTCCAAAGTATGAGAGACAAAGTTTAGCCATCTTGGCCTCCAAGGAGCACTCTGGCTGCACTTCTTCCAAAACAGATCTATTGGTTCTTTTGACAATCCATGGCACTTTTAGTATTCTCCTCCAACACCACAATTCAAAGGCATCAATTCTTCTACGATCTTCCTTATTCACTGTCCAGCTTTCGTATCCACATGAGGTTATTGAAAATACCATGGCTTGGGTCAGGCACACCTTAGTCCTCAAGGTGACATCCTTGCTCTTCAACACTTTATAAAGTTCCTGTGCAGCAGATTTGCCCAATGCAATATGTCGTCTGATCTCTTGACTGCTGCTTCCATACGTGTTGATAGTTGATCCAAGAAGAATGAAGTCCTTGACAACTTCAATCTTTTCTCCATTGATAAGAATGTTGTTTATTGGTCCAGTGGTGAGGATTTTTGTTTTCTTGATATTGAGATGCAATCCATACCGAAGGCTGTGTTCTTTGATCTTCATCACTAAATGTTTCAAGTCCTCTTCACTTTCAGCAAGCAAGGTTGTATCATCTGCATATCGCAGGTTGTTAATGAGTCTTCCTCCAATCCTGATGCCACATTTTTCTTCATAGACCCAGCTTCTCGTATTATTTGCTCAGCATACAGGTTGAATAAGTATGGTGAAAGAACACAACCTTGTCGCACACCTTTCCCAATTTTAAAACATTCAGTGTTCCCATGCTCTGTTTGAACAACTGCTTGTTGGTCTAGGTACAGATTTCTCAGAAGTACAATGAAGTATTCTGGAATACTCATACTTCTCAATGTTGTCCATAGCTTGTCATGATCCACACAATCGAAAGTCTTTGTGTAGTCAATAAAGCATAGCTAAACATCTTTCTGATATAATCCAAATTTACACTACCATAATCCACCTTAATTCTCTCAATAACGCTGTGACTCCATTTGCTCATCTGTCACATGGGATAATGGTATCTGGCCCCATATCATTCTTGACTACTTTGTTATTCAAAGTAGGGTCCATGGACCAGTGGCATCATCTTCCCTTGGACCCTGTTAGAAATGCAGAACCTCAGGCCCTGCCCAGGACCCACTGCATCTGAACCTGCATTTTAATACATTTCTCAGTGACTCCTGTGCACATTTTTACTAGCAACTTCTACAATATAAAGAGAGATGCTGATGAGTAAGTACATTAGTAGACCAAGGCTTTCAAATTAGTGGCCCATGGACCAATCTTCCTAGAGATCTATTTGATTTCTCCAGCATTATGGCTTTAACAACTTTGATCCAGTTCATCAAGTCCCCATCACTCCTGTCTGTATTACACCAATAACATGTTCATTTATGCCATTTGCCAGACCCCTGTAGTCAGTTGACTTTGCACCCCACCCCCACCCAGATCCTATAACTAGCAAGGCTTAGGTTTCCAAATTTAAAAAGCAAGGCACTAAAGAAAAACAAAACCAAAAAAAGCACAGGCTTTGGAATCAAATCTAGGTTCAAATGCTGCCTCTACCATCATACTTTTTATGTGACCTTGAATAAGTTATCTTCTCTTTTCTGACCCTCAAGTTTACACATCTGTAAAAAGAGGATCAAAACACATAGCTTGCAAGATTACAGTTGGGATTAGAAATAATATGTGCAAAGCACCCAACAGGAAATAGGAACTAACTAAATAGGTATAACTCTTAGGGCAGTAGAAGCAGCAGTTGTAGTTGTCAAGCCCAATATGGAAACTGATCATTAGGATTATCCTCATTTTTACTGAGGAAACTGAGGCTCTGTGAGATTAAGAACCTCCCGCAAGGCTACACTCGGGTGGAGTGGGGAATCAAACCCACGTTGTCTTGCTCTAGAGCTGCACTATTCACTAAAACTTTCTGTGATCAATTGGTGCTGTCCAATATGGTGGCCCCCTAGGCTACAGAACACTTCAAATGCGGCAAGTCCATGTTTGGAGATACTGCAAATGTTAAAAAGAACACCCAAATTTTGAAGACTTTGTACAAAAAAAAAAAGCATGTACAAATATCTCATAAATTATTTATATTAATTACAAGATGAATTAATAATATTCTAGAAATATAGGGTTAAAATATATTATTAAAATTAATTTCACCTGCTTCTTTTCACCTTTGTTTTTAAAGTGGCTACTAGAAAAATTTTAATTGCATAACAACTCACACTGTGTTTCTATTGTCAGAGTGACTCTCCACCTTCTCCAATAGAGCAATACCTGAGGGAAGGAACGTAATACTTTTTTTTTAAGTATCTGAAACCCACTGCCCACCAGCAAGGCACTGGTTTATGGATTATGAAGAACAGTCCAAGTACATAGAAAGAGCCCTCAGGGCCCTCTCCTCCAAAGCTGGCTGACCCTTGAACCCTAGAGAAGTGTGATTACCCTGGTCACAAAGCAGTCAGCTGCACAGCTGGAACCAAACCCAGCTGGAGGTGGGCCCTTGTTCTACCACACAACAGGACCTAGATGGGGTTTGAGAAGCAGTGCATTTACTTCGGCAAATGAACCCTGGGAAAAGACAAGCTGGAGACTGAAGTCCATGATCATGAGAAGACAGGATCCTCTGGTAGGGTTTGCTGATATGGCTAACCATCGAGTCCCAGCTGGACACCACTTGGAGTCTGCTTGGGGGTGGAAGCTCCTAGGAGACCCTGGGGCCGTATCACTTTGTGGGGCGGCTCTTGTTGTAGATGAGGAAGTCTGAGATGTCGTGCCACACGTTGCTGTCATCATACAGGTAGGTCATGGAGGATTGTAGTGAGGGCTGCAGCGTGTGCCGGTGGTACTCGAAGAGCCATAGCACCAGCCCCCACATTACGGCGGTGACCATCGGGAATGGTTCCCATCTTGGCTCAGGTATGTAGCCCTTCTCAACACCCAGGCGGCACAAGGCAGACAGGACACGTGAGGTGATGTACATGTTGATCTGCAGGGAGGAAATGACAGGACGTTACTGGGGGCAGCGCCAATGACAAAACCCCTCTCCCCACGCCTTGGGCCACCTACAAGGCACCCACCAACTGCCATCAAGTTGATTCTGACTCATAGTGACCTATATAGAGTTTCCGAGACTGTAAATTGTTACAGGAGTAGGTAGCTTCATCTTTCTCCTGTGGCGTGGCTGTTGGGTTTGAACTGCAGCCAAACATCTAACCTATAGCATCACTAGGTCAATGTTTCTCAAAACTGGTGTGCAAGATATTTTGAAGTGGTATGTAATGAGCATTTTAATATATTACTATTTATACCTTTTATAGAGCATTCTTTCTCATTGACTTTTTTTTTAAGGTAAATCATAATTTATTAGTTATCTCATTGATTTTTAAAATACGAATACATTTAGATGGTTTAAAACCAAAAATAACTTGATACATTAAAAATAGTATTCCATAAAAGGAACAACTGATCCATTGGATCGCATCCAGATTAAAAACTTTTATTCTGTGATAACCCGTGTGAAGAGAAAGAAAAGACAAGCTTCAAAGTGAGAGAGAACATTGCAGCCTATATATATCCATCAAAGGGCTTGTATCTTGAATATAGAAACAACTTTCAATAGTTAAAAAAAAAAAAAAATCAAAGACAAAATGGGCAAAAGACATGAACAGACATTTCTCCAAAGAGGACATACAGATGGCAAATAAGCACATGGAAAGATGTTCAATATCAGTCACCTGGGAAATGCAAATCAAAAGCATAATGAAACATCACTACGCACCTATCAGAATGGCTAAAATAAAACATATGATAAGCCAATTTTTGGTTAGGATTGGAGAAAATGGATCACTTATAGATGCTGGTGGGAACGTACAGCCACTTTGGATAACTGCTGGGCAGTTTCTAACAAAGACTAACCATGCAATTATTATATTGTTAGGTACCATCAAGTTGGTTCTGACTCATAGTGATCCTATGCACAACAGAACAAAACACTGCCTGGTCTAGCGCCATCCTCACAATTAGTAAGCTTGAGCTAAATGCTGCTGTCACTGTACCAATCCACCTTGTTAGGGGGTTTCCTCTTTTTTGCTGACTCTCCACTTTACCTCGTATGATGTTCTTCTCCACAGACCGGTCCCTCCTTATAATATGTCCAAAGTATGAGATTCAAAGTAATGACATCCTGGTTTCTAAGGTGCATTCTGGCTGTACTTCTCCCAACACAGATTTGTTTGTTTTTTGTAGCAATCCATGGTACTTTTAATATTCTTCTCTAACACAGTAACTCAAATACATCAGTTCTTCTACTGTCTTCCTTATTCACTGTTCCTACTTTCAAAAGCTATTGAAAATACCATGGCTTGGGTCAGGCACACCTTAGTCCTCACAATGACATTTTTGCCCTTTAAAGAGGTCTTGTGCACCACATTTGCGTAATGCAATACACACCGTTTGATTTCTTGACTTGCAGCTGCAGTAAGTGTTGACTGTGGATCTAAGCAAAACGAAGTCTTTGACAACGTCACTCTTTTCTCCATTTATCAAGAAGTTATTTATTGTCCCTCATCTGAGTATTCAGTTATGCTTGTTAGTAATTGCATACATGAGCCCTGGATATCCACAGATAAATGTAAAAACCTTCCCTAAAAGCCGAGACTGTAAATTCCAAAAAGGCAAAGTTTCTCCCACCCCCACCCCCCCCAAAAAGCTAAAGAGGATACAGAGAAACACTGTTAATTGATGATGTATGGAGGGGATTATAATCAATGTAATGAAACAAGTCATATGAATGGTTGAATGTGAAACTGATGATGTGCCCTGTAAACTTTCACTCAATCCACTATAAAAACCTTAAAAAAAAGAAGTTATTTATTGGTCCAATGGTGAGGATTTTTGTTTTCTTTACATTGAGCTGCAACCCATACTGAAGGCTGTTGTCTCTGATCTTCATCAGTAAGCATTTTTAGTCCTTTTCACTTTCAGAAAGCAAGACTGTATCATCTGTGTATTGCAGGTTGTTCCTCCAATCCTGATGCCATTCTTCTTCATAAAATTCAGCTTCATGGATTATTTGCTCAGCATACAGACTGAGTAAGTATGGTGAAAGAATACAACAGTAGCACACACTTTTCCTAATTTTAAAGCATTTAGTTTCCCCTTGTTCTATTTGAACAACTACCTCTTGGTCTATGTACAGGTTCCTCATGAACACAGTTAAGTGGTCCAGAAAATTAATTCTCCACAATGTTGTCCATAGCTTGTCAAGATCCACAGAGTCAAAAGCCTTTGCATAGTTAATAAAGCACAGGTAAACATATTTCTGGTATTCTCTGCTTTCAGCCAAGATCCAGCTGACATCAGCAATGATAGCCCTCATCCCATGTCCTCTTCAGAATCTATCTAGAACCTCTGGTAGTTCCCTGTCAATGTACTACTGCAGCTGTTTTTAAATGATCTTTAACAAAAATTTACTTGCATGTGATATTAATGATATTAGCCAATGACTTCCGCAGTAAAGTGGGTTACCTCTGAAATGGGCACAAATATTGATCTCTTCCAATCAGTTGGCCAGGTAGCTGTCTTCCAAATTTCTTGGCATAGATCAGTGAGTGTCTCAAGTGCTACATCAGTTTGCTGAAAAACTTCAATTTGTATTCCATCAATTCCTGGAGTCTTGTTCTTTGCAAAGACTTCAGTGCACCTTGGACTTCTTCCTTCAGTAACCATTGGCTCTTGATCATATGTTACTTCTTGAAATGGTTAAGCATCGACCATTTCTTTTTGATACAGTGACTCTGTGTATTCCTTCCATCTTCTTTCGATACTTCTGGTATCAATCAATATTTTGCCCATAAAATCCTTCATTATTGCAAGTCGAGGCTTGATTTGTTTTTCTTCAGTTTTTTTCAGCTTGAAAAATGCTGAGCGTGTTCTTCCCTTTGGTTTTCTAATTCAAGGTCTTTGAACATTTGATTATAATAGTTGACTTTGTCTTCTTGAGCTGTCCAGCTCTCTTATTTCCTCATTTCTTCCATTTGCTTTAGCATCTCTATGCTGAAGAGCAAGTTTTAGAGTCTCTTTTGACATCCATTTTTGTCTTTTCCTTATATTCTTAATGATTTTTGCTTTCTTCCTGTATATGTTCTTGATGTCCTCCCACAACTCTTCTAGTCTTCAGTCATTAGTGTCTAGTACATCAAATCTGTTCTTGAAATGATTTATAAATTCAGGTGGGATACATTCAACAACAAATTTTGGCTCTTGCAGACTTGTTTTCATTTTCTTCCACTTCATTCTGAACTTGCATATGAACAATTAATGGTTTGTTCCATAGTCTGCCTCTGGCCTTGTTTTGGCTGATAATAGAGAGTTTTCCCAATATTTCTTTTCACAGATGTAGTCAAGTTGATTTCTGTGTATGCCATATGGTTAGGTCCATGTATATAGTTGTCTTTTATGCTTTCTAAAAAACATGTTTGCAGTGAACAAGTCATTGGTCTTGCAAAATTCTATCATGCAATCTCCAGCATCATTTCTAGCACCAATGCTATATTTTCCAACTACTTTACTTCCTCTTTGTTTCCAAGCTTTGCAGTCTAATCACCAGTAATGATCAATACATCTTGATTGCATGTTTTATCAATTTCAGACTGAAGAAGTTGGTAGAATTCTTCAATTCCATCATCACTGGAAGCTCTACTGAAACCTATCCACCATGGATGTGCTCTTGGTATTTACAATCCTGGTGGCATAGCTTCCTGCATCATGGCAACACACAAGCCACCACAATGACAAACTGACAAAACAAGTGCTACACTGGGAAATGAACAGTGGTGATGACGAATGCAATTAATGTTAATGAACTGTATGGTTAAAATGGCAAAAGTTTTGCTCTGCATATTTTGTTCTTACTGATGGCTGTAGAGTCGATTGTGACTCATGGCAACACCATATGCACAGAAGAACTACTCACAGCATTTTCCTTTTGGAAGCAAATAGTCACACCTGTCTCCCAAGGTGCCGCTGGGTGGGCTAGAACAATTAGTCTTTAGTACCATCCAGGGATTCATATATATGTTACTAATACAAAAAATAGCAAAAAAAAATTAATAAAACATTTTTTAAAAGTGGATGAGGGTGGAAACAAATGAAATGTCCACCAACAGAAGAATGGGTAACCAAAACGTGGTCCATACCTACAACGGAATACTACTCATCCCAAGAGACGTGAAGTTCTCATACACGCTACAACGTGGATGAACCTTAAAAACACCACACTGAACCAAATATGTCAGTTGCCAAAGGACCAACAGAGTGTGATCTCATTTATATGAAATAAGCAAATATCCAGAAACCAAAGATTATCAGTGACTACCAGAGGTGGGAGAGAGTTTTTGCTTAGAGGGCACTGAGTTTATGTTAACGGTGGTGGAATGATTTGAAAAAGGACAGTGAGAATGGATGAACAACTTGAAGAATGTCATCAATGGTACTGAACTGTCCACACAGATTGAGATAATTGAGATTTTGTATGCTTTCTTATATATACTTTCACCATAATTAAAAAAAAAAAAGGATGAGTGACCGATAGAAAAAGGCCTCCAAAATATACTGCTATATGGAAGAAAGTATGCTGTTGATATTAAGTGCTGTCGGGTCAGTTCCAACCTTGCATAGGGTTTCTGAGGAGCCTGGTAGGTTTGAGCCGCCAACCTTGTGGTTAGCAGTGCAGTGCTAATCCTACAGCATTACACCAGGAAAAAAGTGTAATTGTGATTTTATTGGTGGAAAAGCCATAATACCTAGACTGATGTAAGCATAGACAATTTCTGAGAGGCTCCACCAGACATAGTGAATAGGGGCTGCTCCGGTGGGTGTGGAAGGTGGAGGCGCCACTAGATTGGATGAGCTTTCTTATTTATTTTCCAACTGTATCCTGATGCATCTCAAACAGCCAGGCACACAGGAGGTGTTTAGTCCACAATACTTTTCAGTCAATGTGTGGTCTTTCTATAGTTTCAAAATATTTTAAGAAATTTGAATGAGACAAATAAAAGGAGCTGAAAACTTTTCATTTCATACCAGAAAGATTAAAAAAAAAAAAAACAAAAACAGAAGCAACTAGTATTTAGTTTCATTAAAAAATTGATGCTATTCCAGAAACCAAAAGCATGGGTGGGTAGGAGGGAGAAGGCCAGGTTATACAGTAAGAGATCATTCTTTGTGTGTAGTTTTCTTTCTTGAAACCTTCTTCTGGGGCATGTTTTGTTTTTGGTTTTCTTTCTCTTATTTCATTGCAGAGTAATTTAACAAAAATGCCTTTGCCCAAGAGAGCAGCAGACACACTGACTTGGAGGATTGTTGAGTTTAATTAAGCTGCTTGGTTTACAGACAGGGAATGTGAGGGAGGAAGTCACCTTCCCAAAGCCACACAGAAACCTTCCCCTGCACCCCCTGGGAGGCTCTTTACCTGGCTGTTGACGTTGTTGTTTTCTCTAAACACCAGCAAGCCCCCGATGAAGGCAGCCAAGAAAGAGTGTGCCTGGTAGGTCGCACCCTGCACTTGAGATTGCAGGGCACAGAGCCCCTTGTAGATGAACACGAAGTAGGCCAGGTTCCGGGAGTGTGTATACGTAGCCTGCAGGATGGCCCGAAGCTTGTCCCGAAAGCTGCACAAGGTAGGGAACTCCATTAGTGCAGGCCCAGCCATTCCCAGGCATTCCCCCACTGGGTAGGCAAAACTGATGAGCCAGGTCAGGTGCTCAGTGGCCTTTGATCACTCAGCCCTCTACCCTCCATGTCCTCAGGCCTGCTGCTCTCTTGACTCAGTGCCACCTACTCAGAGATCTTCCCTGACCACTGTATAAAAAATAAAGCCCAGCTCAGCCCAGCCCAGCCTGTTTTTCTTTTCCTTCATAGCTCTTCTCACCACTTCCCCCAAACTCTGCCCCCACTGGAAGTTCTCCAAGATCAGGCTTGTTCATCCTCAGGGCCAAGAGCAGAGCGTGACATATATAGTAGGTGCTCAATAAATACATTTTTGAGTAGACGTGAAGAAGTGAGTGAATGTACTAATGTACTGAATCTTAATGAACAGGAGAATTGTTGGGTGTTAGTTCCGACTCATAGCAACCTGTGTAATGTAGCAGAACTGCCCCCATGAGGTTTTCTAGGTGTAATCTTTACAGGAGCAGAACATCAGGATTTTCTTTACACAGAGCTACTGGATGGCTTCAAACTGCCAAACTTTTTTCTAGCAGCCAAGTGCTTAACCACATGAGATAAATAATCACAAAATATAAGATCCAACTTTGACCTTAACAAAAAATGGTCTTAAGATCAGAGGTTGAGGAGGGAGGAGCGCACCCCAAGCAGAGATACTAGTACATGCAAAGGTCCTGAGGAGGGACGAGGTGTGGAAAGTGAAGGAATAGAAAGAGGTCACTGTGACAATAGACTGTGGGCCAAAGGATATGGAGGAGAGGTGGCACTGCCGGATGTACAGGGCCTTCTAGTCCACATTGAGTGCTTTTTCCTGAGAAAAGTGATCATTTAAGTAGGGGAGAGTGATGGGAGTCACTTTTTCTCCTGAAAATTTCATGGGGGTAGCAAGGAGAATGCAGAAATGGGGTCAGAGTGTACTCTGAGAGATCAGTTTAGGAAAGGCCAACACCAACGCCCTGAGGGCCAGATGAGAACTCTGAGTAGAAATCTGTCAGGTGGGTGGGGACAGGAGTTAGCTGGCCCTCACCCTGAGGGAACATGGACCTAGCATTTCTGGTTCTAAGGCAGGAAAGTTAGGTTTCCATGTGAAAGAGTTCTATTTTTAAATGTGGGCACTAGTTCCACCTTTAAAATGTTTCTAGAATCTGACTACTTCACCTCACCTCCACTGATACCATCAAAATCACTGCTCACTGGAGTCATTGTCAGTTCCTAATTTGCACCTCATTCTGCCCTTGTGCCCCCACCTGCTCTGTTCTTAACCTGGCAGCAAACTCTCAACCCTCAAACCCTGAAAACATCAATCAGGTAGTGGCACTGCCCGGCTCAAAGTCTTGTAACAATTTTCTGTTTCATTTAATGGAAAAGGCAAACTCTTCACCACCATCTAAAACTGGATGGGACTGGATTGGGATACCCCTGTGGGCCCCCGCTCCTTCTTCTCTGCCCCTTGATGCCACTGTTCCAGCCACCTCAGAGTCATTCGGCAGGATCCTACCTCAGGGACTTTGTACTAGCTGTTCCCTCAGCCTGGAACACTTTTTTCCTTGGTAGCTATTTGGCCAACTGTTCCATCTGTTTCAAGCCTTTACTAGAACGTTTCTTTCTCAGAGGGCTCCCCAATTTAATTCTGAAAACTTTCTCTCCATCATGCAGAACCCTTTTTCCCTGCTGTAATGTTTCTCCCTTGTAGCTTGTATCACCTTCTAGTCCAACATATACTTGAGTATCTATTAGGTTTCTTTTCTGCTGCCCCTGCTAGACTGTAACCTTAATAAAGACAGAGGTCATTGTCTGTTCTATTCAGTACTGTATCCCCAGCACCCAGAATAGAGAATGGCACATACAGGAGATGTTCAATACATAATTGCAGGATGAATGAATGAGTTGAATTTTTAAGAAAAAAAAAAAAAAAATCGGAAGTCAGAAACAAAAACAAAAATACAAAAGGGAAAGTCTTGCAAACTGGAATTGGTCAAAAGGCTGCTCATGTGTTAGTTCAATAAACTCCAGGGGAGGCTATATGCGTTAGATCACAAGAAGGTTTCTGAGATCCCAGGACCATCAAGAAGAAAGAGCATGAGTGGAAGCGTGACATCCTACCTAGAAAAGCAGCAACAGCAGAGATGGTGGCAGAGGCAAAGACAGAGGCAGAGGGTGAGCGACAGGGCAGCTTCCGGCTGCTGGCAGAAAGCTGGCTTGCAGAACGTGCCCTTTGGACATTTAAATGAATATATATTTTTTGTTTTGTATATGTACATCAAATATTTTTGCTTGGTTCATTTGTGAAAAATACAATGTAAATGGGGAGATATAGGGAGGAAGTAGGACAATTGTTGCAAGGGAGGGGATTGTAATCACTGAGATGAAACAAAGTGTATAATTTGTTAAATGTAAAGCTAATGATCTTGTCTGTAAACCTTCACTCAATGCACAATAAAAAATAAAAATAAAATTTGATGATGCCAAAAAAAAACAAACAAAAAAAGAAAGTTTCTGAGAAGGTCCACGAGGGGAGAGTTATGGGGGATCAGAGAAAGGCTAGAAGGCTTGAACAAGAGAGACAGCTGCCCTGACAGAGGCAGTGATCCTCAGAGGATGGGTGTTGGTTGCCAGGAGGAACCAAAGGTGGGGTGGGTGAGGAAATAGGTACTGCCTGTGAGTGGATGTAGGAGGCAGTGTCCAGAGGGCCTTGAATTTCAGACCTGAAAGTGGGCTTCTTTGGAAGACAATGGGAATTTTTGAACAGGGATAATAGGATCAGAATTATACTTTAGGAAGTGTGTGTGTGTGTGTGTGCTAGTAGGGTGCACAGGCTAGACCCCGCCAGGAAGCCACAACAAACTTCCTGGCACATTCTCTCCTAGTTAGAAGGGTGCTCAGGGGAGGTGGTACCTGCCACTCCGGAAGAGAAAGGTCATGACCAGCGCGTGGGGGGCTCTGATTTTGGCTCCATAGCTGTAGAAAGAGAAGAAAACAGTTACTAAGGTATCACAATTTCTTCCTGGGCTCTCTCTCTGACCCCTCACCCCTAGTTCTAACACTACTTTGTTGTTAATTGCCATCTAGTCAGTTTCAACTCTGAGCGACCCTGTATAGGGTTATTTAGGAGTGGTTGGTGGGTTTGAACTGTCGTCAACCTTATGGTTCAGACTGAGCTTTCGGTCCAGTGCATTCTCCTACAACACCACATTTAAAGGGGAAAAAATGCTGGCTTTTAAGTTAAATCTGGGTTCAAATTCTAATCCTGACACTTCGTGGTAGTGTGGCCTCAGGTTTGTGATTTAATTTCCCGATCCTCAATTTTCCCAACTGTAAAATGGGGTGTGTGACCTCTCCTCAAGATCCAGACAAAAATATATTAGGAATTGTTGTTGTTCTTAAGTGCCGTGGAGTCGGTTCTGAACCACAGCGACCCTGAACAGGGTTTCTGAGGCTATAAATCTTTACGGGAGTAGAAAACCTCATCTTTCTCCCACGAAACAGCTGGTAGTTTCGAACTGCTGACCTTGTGGTCCACAAGCCCGATTCATAACCTCTACACTACCAGATAAAGGCCTGGAAATCTACTTCTGAAAATTGTTGTTGTTGTTATGTGCGTGGAGTCGGTTCCGACTCATGGCGACCCTGTGCAGGGTTTCTGAGGCTGTAAATCTTTACGGGAGCAGAAAGCCTCATCTTTCTCCCACGGAGCGGCTGGTAGTTTCTGAAAATTAGCCAACGAAAACTCTGAGGATCAGAACAGAATATGACCTAACAGAATTCTGAAAGATAAGTCCCTTCAGTAATGGACTTGAGCTTACCAACGAATGTGACTAGGCAACGTTTCATTCTCCAGGATATAAACCCACTGCTGTCTGTCAACTCAGACCCCGTAGGATAGAGTAGAACTGCCCCAAAGGCTTTCCAAGGTGGTACATCTTCACGGAAGCAGACTGCCACATCTTTCTCCTGCCAAGTGGCTAGTGGGTTCCAACAGGCACTTTTGGTTAGCAATCTAATGCTTAACCCACCACCACACCAGGGTTACTCACAAAGATACTGCTGTTGTTATTGAGTGCCGTTGAGTTAGTTCCGACTCATAGCAACCCTGTATAGGGTTTCTGAGGAGCAAGCTGGTGGGTTTAAACTGCTAGCCTCATGGTGAGCCATCAGGACCCCAAACCAGGGTATAGCTTATGGTGTGGCGCTATAGGTTAATGCAAGGTCAGCTTGTACCACAAGGTTGACAGTTCAAGCTCACCCAGCCACTCTTCAGAAACCCTATACAGGGTCACTATGGATCAGAACTGACTCAACGGCACTTAACAACAACACCATACTGTAAATCTGTACACTCTAAAAGCTGTACTATTGTCCGTCACATTACACTGTGAGCTCAGGCTTCCTGACTTGTGTTACAGGTATCCTTCCCCTCCAAGGAAGATCGGGGCCTGAGATGGCCAAAATCCCTAAACAGGATACCGCTAGCCAAAAACAGTCTGGTGGGTCACTTAACGAGTCAATGAAAAGTTCCAGCCACACTGGCCCTCCTGAAGTTGCTCAGATACACCTCGCCCTTCTCTGCCTCCTTGACTTGGATGCTCTTCCCCTCCTTCTTGAACCCCCTCTTCCTTAGCCTTCCAGTCTTGGCTGGCTCCTCTGAGAGGGTCTCTGACCCTCTAAACTAGGTTTAGGCAATGTTGTCATTACCAAAGACCCCCAAATTTCTCTGTAGTACATTACACTCCCAATCTAAGGACCGAGGCATTCGTAACTAGGTACTCATTATAATTCTCTCTTTCCCCTACTAGACCGAGGGCTCTGGGAGGACAGGAACTGTGCCACACTTGTTTTCTGCAGTACCAGCACCTTACATGAGATTTGTTATAAAGTAAACACATGTCTTTCAAGTTGATTCTGACTCACAGTGACCCCATGGGATAGAGCAGAACCCTTGGGTTTCCAAGACTATAAATCTTTTTTTTTTTTTCTTTTTAAGGCTTTTATTGTGGATTGAGTGAAAGTTTACAGGGCATATCATCAGTTTTACATTCAATAAATCATACACCTTCTTTCATTACAATGATTATAATCCCCTTCATGTACCATCGGATAACAGTATTTCTCTCTATCCACTTTAACTTTAAAAAAACAAACAAACACTCAAGCATATATAATAATTTATACCACCAAAGGGCACATTCTGCAAGTCTGCCTCCTGGCCACCAGCTCTTAGCCCCTCTCTTCCCATGAATCTAGAGTCCTTGGCTGCTTCAACTCTCCATGCCCCCATCTCTGCCTCAGTCTCTGGATACGGTCCTGAATTCTGTTTGTGCGCTTCTTCCTTGATGGTCCTAGGGTTCTCAGTTTCTGGATTGTAAGATAAACCCCTCCCCTGTTTTTGTACAAAACTTCTACCTTTACAATTGTGACAGTCACAATTAGTCATGATAACAAGTATTCACTATTGAATCATACAAATCTTATCCCCATCTCTTTTCCTGACTTGTGTTCCTGACCAGACCCATCTAGACAAGGTGAATTCTATTCAGTGGGGACTCTTTCTTTCCCCCCATACTCTAAAACTAAACTCCCTCTTGAAACCTTGTAAGCCAGTCACTTCGTGCCTTTATCGCCCCCTCATTTTAGGTAGCCAATGTCTAAGTCGCCCATCCCTATCTACCCTGTGTACAGAGGGGATAGCATTGATACTTGATGTGAAGACTCCTTCCCTCTCTGTTGGTATTTAGAGTTACTACCTTCATG